TCTCAATTCAAAACTTATAATTTACAAATGAATATTTGCTAAATTTGATTTGAAGTCTTCATAGCTTGGAGTTGATTTTCCTAAAATGTTAGTACACACTAGAGGATTTCTGTCTGACCTTCAAACGTCGTCGGATTTCCGATCACCGTTTGTAATTGAATTTCAACCCAGGAGTTGATTATTGTAATCTGATCGTCCTCAATTTCATGGATGAGTCAGGCACTTGTAACTAAGCAAACACTAGCTAAATCCTTTTCAACTATGCATGACCCCGTGATTTTTTCTTTTTCCAAAGTTTTCACGTAAAATTCTTGTGTTACATTTTTCTTTTGTTTGTGCGTTGGATATCCGTACAACGCTGAGACAAACATTTTCTAACTCTATCGCCGGGTATGTTCTAGCCCGCAACAAAAATAAATGATATAAAACATAAAATAAATTTGATATACTGAGCTCATTTTAATCAAAAATCAATTAGAATAATCTATTTTTTTATTTTATGTGTAGTAAATATAAATTTTTAATATATTTATAACATTTAAATTTTGTGATTATTTTCAATATATTTTTCATAGGAGAAATTAATTTGAATTCATCCATCAAATTTGAACTCCCATTATGATGAAAAATAAAATGAAATGTTCTTACAATATTCACATACATTTAGCCATTTATTATTTTTAATACTATTCTTCTTTCTTAAGTTTGAAATATTTAGACATAAAATTTAAACATTATATAAGTTCAAAAAATTCCAAGATTATATCTCTCACATATGTTTCTCGTGCCAGAAAGCTGTGGAGTCCGATCGCACACCGACAAAGCTATTAAAAAACTAAGATCTCTTAAGATTTTTTTTTTTTGAAACTATATGAAATTAGTATCATTATTTTGATTGATGTAAACGGTTTAACCCAAATTCAGATCCACCTTAATGATATTCCTAAACTAAGAGAGAAATTAATTTTGAAAGGAGAAAAAAAATTATAACTTAACGTTCTTACAATTTTCTGAACAGAAAAATATTCAATAGTAATTTTTAGCAAAAGTTATTGAATATAAACATTTCTTTAGGATATTAGGTCTTTTTTTTTTCTCAATTTATTATGAGAACAATCATATTTAGGGATGCATTTTTCAAATTTGTATGATTGTTGCATCCTCAAATATTTGCGGCGATAGACGAATATAAAGTTTAACGGCTTAGCTTTGTACGAAGATTCAACATATAATCAAATAAAAATATATTGTGCAATATTTATAAGAGACCAAAATTTTAAAGTGAAAAGCCTGAAAAAAGGAAAACCCACAGGCCTAACCCAATTTGAAAGAATCAACTAATATTTGCAGTAGATTACAAATGAGGCCCTTCATTAGTAGAAATTATTACACCCGGTCAAAAACCGAATGGTCTGAATGTATACCGAGCAATACCAAGTTCAAAATACCAAGTTTAGGTGACGTGGCATGTTGTTATTGGTCTCTGAACGCATTCGGACACCGGATGTAATAATTGCTCCTTCATTAGAGGGAAGATCTTTGTTTGATGTAACAAATATACATCATATAGATGTGTTACACGATAGAAATTGGAAGAATCGGAATTGATATATTCGTTCAGTCAATAGGACGATAGTCGGTTGGCGAGGGAGGTCGGAAGAATCATAATTTGCAGGCGATGGTAGCCAAAAAAGATTGTTGTCTGGCGACATATGTCAAAAGGACCGTAGTCGTACGACAGAGGTTGGAATGACCATTGTATCGAGAAGGAGGTCAAAAGAACCATAATCGGGTGGCGACGGAGGTCGGAAGTCAGGCGATTAATGGAAATCCGACGTCGGGCAGAAGTCCGGCGATGGACGAAAGTACGGCATCGAGTAGAAGTCTGACGAAAGTCTGATGAAGGATATAAGTGTGAAATCCCTCAAGTAAAATAAATCTAACTCTTAAACATCGAGGAACATTTTGGTGTAATGGTTGGAATTAATTTTCATAAGAATCTTCGCAGTTGAGCGTGCTCATCCTAAAGCAATTATGGGATGAGTGACCTACTGGGAAGTTTCACCAACAAAATAAAACCGTGAGACTTTTAGGCCAAAGCAAACTATCTCGATAGTTAAAAGTTTGGGTTGTTTCAAATGGTATTATAGCAATACACCAACAAGAAAGATGGGAGCTAAGTGTTATACAAGACAAAGTGTTACGCCATGTGAGCCACCTCTTGAACCTTATATGGGACAAAGTGCTACCTGACGGGAGCCACCACTTGAACTTATAGGGGTCACCTCTAGAGTCTTATCTGCCTGGTGGATGATTCTGGGATACATATGCTGACGAGGACGTTAATTACTTAAGTGGGGGAGATTGTAAAATTCTTTAAGTAAAATAAAGTTAACTCTTAAACATCGAGGCGTCTTTTGATGTAAAGATTGAAATTTCTGTAATAAACTTCGTAGTTAAGCATGCTAATCCCATATCAATTCTAAGATGGGTGACCTACTGGGAAGTTGAACCAACAAGACAAAATCGTGAGGTTCTTAGACCAAAGCAGACAATATCTCGTAGTTAAGAGTTTTGTCTCTTACAAGAAATCCAACGTTAGAAAGAAGTCCGACGTTGGATAGAAGTCCAACGGAAGTCCAACGGCGAGTAAAAGTTCAGAGACATGCGGATCTCCAATGATGAATGGAAGTCCGCTGTCAGTTGGCGGTCGAGTGTAAATTTAATGTTAGAAGGTGGCAGGACAGAAGTCTGACATTAGTTGTTGGGTGGCAGAAGTCTGACGGTGTTTGAGGGGGAGTCTAGTGCCAAGAGATCTTTCTTCATTCTCTTCTTGCTTGGATCCGACATTAGTTGGCGGCTGGGCAGAAATCTAGCATCAGTTGGTGGTTAGGTTGAAATTTGGCAACAGTCAATGGCCGAGCAAAAGTGAGGCAACAGTCGATGGTAGGGATGTTAGGGCTGAAGTCCGACGATGGTAGAGAATGAGTCTGGTGGCAAGAGAACTCTCTTCTTGAACTACGGTGGTCAATGGATCGTAGTCAAGCAATTATAGTTGAATGACTCTAATCGGAAGTTCATAGTTAGTTGACGACAATCGGAGGTCAAAGGCTCATCATCATGCAATGGCGTTTGGAGAACCATATTCGGGTGGTGATAGTACGATTATGTTGGTTGGGAAGTGTTGTCACAGTGTTTGCTCGGTGGTGGTCAGATAATGACAATTGATCAATGTTCTGAAGGTGGTGGTCCGATAGTAGTTTTCTTGTGGGTGGTGCTTAGGCGGAGCTTCCAAATTCCTTAATTTTTCTTGTTGAGACATTCAATTCAACTATAAGCATGCGAGAGATTTAGAGTTCATTTGATCATCAAATTATTATCTTGAAGCTTCTAATTACATCTCAAATTCTTAATGTGAGCTAAATTGGACGAAGATACCATCATTTTTGTATATTTTAGGTTCATCTTTGAGAGACTTTCAATTTAATAATAGATTGTTAAAATTGAAATTAGAATTACTCTAAATTTAACTTTGAAAAGTTTTAATTCAAAAATAAATAGAGATTCATACCCGACAAAAATGACTTTCGACCACGTATCAATGTCATATATGTGCGAAATTATTAAGTGCGGTTAGCGTATGCCGTCCAGATGCCAATCAAAACGTGTCACGTCACCAATACTATGTGTACCGTTATTATGTACCGTTATGTATTGGGTGACGTGACACATCCTGATTAGTCTTTAAACGATCCGATGACCGCACATAACAATCCCAATCCCTTCATATATGTCGTAAGCATCTCAGCATAGATAGAAATATCTGATTTCAATAATATATGTTACAAATTAACTGTCATCCCATTTTCAATGGCTTTTCTCAAAAAATTGCGCAAGCAGCCGATTTTAAAATGACTATCAAATTGGATAAAGTTGTCATCGTCACGGACCTTATGGCTGAATATTTATATGGCCCATAATTTAAGAGAATATTAGAAAGGTTTGCCAGCCTTCCAACATCTATTATTGCTGATCTCAGCTCGCCGATTCAGCAGAATATAAAATTATTGCGTTGTTATGCGCATGATTATTATGATAGTAAAATTTAGAAAGTACA